GACAGTTTTAAGTAATTCATGAATCACTCCAACGCAGGACCATGAAATGTAAATGTAAATAGTGAAATAATTATATATGTATTTTACATAAAATGAATCGGTATTTGAATTAATTAATGATACATTTAATTACACATTTATGTATTTAATTCTAATTTTAATTAATTAATGACACATTTAAGTAATTATTTAATGGTGTATTTATTTATTTAATTGTGGCACTTTTAGTCCTCCATAGATCTCAGGCCCTTATGAATTATAATTTGTTATATACATTTTGTCTTATAAATGAATGTATTATTTCTACAGCTAATCAGCGTACACCCAATATGTTCCGCCTGTTGATGCTTATTATGCATTATGGTTGAACCAAAAGATTACATGTAACTAAAAATAAATGAAATTGGAAACAATTAAATATATACAGTGCATTCGGAAAGTATTCAGACCGCTTGACTTTTTCCACATTTTGTTACGTTACAGCCTCATTCTAAAATGGATTAAATTGTTTTTTTTCCTTATCAATCTACACACATTACCCCATAATGATTAAGCAAAAACAGGTTTTTAGAAATACGGAAATATCTAATTTACATAAGTATTCAGACCCTTTACTCAGTACTTTGTTGAAGCACCTTTGGCAGCGAATACAGCCTCGAATCTTCTTGGGTATGACGCTACAAGCTTGGCACACCTGTATTTGGGGTGTTTCTCCCATTCTTCTCTGCAGATCCTCTGAAGCTCTGTCAGGTTGGATGGGGAGCATCGCTGCACAGCTATTTTCAGGTTTGATCGGTCCGGGCTCTGGCTGGGCCACTCAAGGACTTGTCCCGAAGCCACTCCTGCGTTGTCTTGGTTGTGTGCTTAGGGTTGTTATCCTGTTTGAAGGTGAACCTTCGCCCCAGTCTGAGGTCCTGAGCGCTCTGGAGCAGGTTTTCATCAAGGATCTCTCTGTACTTTGTTTCCGTTCATCTTCCCCTCGATCCTGACTAGTCTCCCAGTCCCTGTCGCTGAAAAACATCCTCACAGCATGATGCTGCCACAACCGTAGGGATGGTATCTGGTTTCCTCCAGACATGACGCTTGGCATTCAGGCCAAAGAGTTCAATCTTGGTTTCATCAGACCAGAGAATCTTGTTTCTCATGGTCTGAGAGTCCTTTAGGTGCCTTGTGGCAAACTCCAAGCAGGCTGTCATGTGCCTTTTACTGAGGAGTGGCTTCCGTCTGGCCACTCTACCATAAAGGCCTGATTGGTAGAGTGCTGCAGAGATGGTTGTCCTTCTGGAAGGTTCTCCCATCTCCACAGAGGAACTCTGGAGCTCTGTCAGTGACCATTGGGTTCTTGGTCACCTCCCTGACCAAGGCCCTTCTCCCCCGATTGCTCAGTTTGGCCGGGCTGCCAGCTCTAGGAAGAGTCTTGGTGGTTCCAAACTTCTTCCATTTAAGAATGATGGAGGCCACTGTGTTCTTGGGGACCTTCAATGCTGCAGACATTTTTTGCTACCCTTCCCCAGATCTGACTCGATACAATCATGTCTTGGAGCTCTACGGACAATTCCTTCGACCTCATGGTTTGGTTTTTGCTCCAACATCCACTGTCAACTGTGAGACCTTATATAGACAGATGTGTGCCTTTCCAAATCATGTCCGATTGAATTTACTACAGGTGGAATCCAATCCAGTTGTAGAAACAGCTCAAGGATGATCAATGGAAACAAGATGCACCTGAGCTCAATTTCGAGTCTCATAGCAAAGGGTTTGAATACTTATGTAAATAAGGAGATATATATTTTTTATATTAATTTGCAAAAATGTATAAAAACCTGTTTTCGTTTTGTCATGATGGGGTATTGTGTGTTGCTTGATGAGGGGAAAAAAAATATTTAATACATTTTAGAATAAGGCTGTAACAGGGAAGGGGTCTGAATACTTTCCGAATGCACTATATTTAAGTTTCACTCAATTCATTCTAATCAACCTAATAATTATGACACACCCCTCACTATTGTCATTGGTTACACTAATTGCACTGTTTGTCTACATAACCTGGTTCAAGCATTCATGACATTACCCTGAGGAAAGCACAATGATGCCAAAATGTTGGTGTACCCAAGAAATTACTGAGAGTTTATATATATAGAGTGTGCGACTCTCTTTATTTATTTTTATAGCTTACAAATAAAAGGGAGTTAACATGACAAACATCACAACCTGGAACGACAACAGATACACGTTGATTGATTTGAACATTGTTTCATATTTGGTTGGTTTCCTGGACACCGATCAAGCCTAGTCCTGGACTCAACTGGTACTGTCAATGGAGAATATCCATAGAACATCATTCTTAGTCGAGGACCAGGCTTAATCTGTGTCTGGGAAACCGGCCAAATAAGTGGTAGCCAAAAATCTTGAGCACACTCAGACATATTCCTAATCTGTATCTGAGTAGATGAGCACAAAATCACATTTACATTCCAGTGCCACATGATTTAGCTCATCTGGTATTGCACAGACAGGCCAGAGCGGCGCATTAGGGGACAGGGTTTCAAACCGTGCACCATTTCAATGTGCAGGGCACAGGAGGTTGGTGGCACCTTAATTGGGGAGAACGGGCTCATGGTAATGGCTGGAGCGGAATGCTATCAAATACATCAAAGACATGGTTTCCATGTGTTTGATGTTATTCCATTCGCGCCGTTCCAGCCATTATCATGAGCCGTTCTCCCCTCAGTAGCCTCCACTGGTGCAGGGGCATACATCAAGTAGGCTACTCTTAACGTCACACACATAAGACCACGGTCGTATTCATTAGTGCAAAACTGTAGCAAAACGATATGCAATGGAAAGGGAAAATGAGTGTTTCTTATTGGGTAAGTTCAGGGAGTCATTCCCTGTTTCGGTTCATTTTCTTCCGTTTGATGTCAGTGAATACGACACAGAAAATGTTCAAACAAGGTATTACTGTCAGGAACGGATATCCTACCTGTGCAGCAGCAGGGACTCGTTCAGGTGGGAGTAACGTTACTGAACGTTCAGATAAAAATGTATTGTGTACAACAGATATGACTGTCCAATATTATAGATAGACATACAGTTGAAGTCGGAAGTTTACATACACTTAGGTTGGAGTCATTAAAACTTGTTTTTCAACCACTCCACAAATTTCTTGTTAACAAACTATAGTTTTGGCAAGTCGGTTAGGACATCTACTTTGTGCATGACACAAGTAATTTTTCCAACAATTGTTTACAAACAGATTATTTCACTTATAATTCACTGTATCACAATTCCAGTGGGTCAGAAGTTTACATGCACTAAGTTGACTGTGCCTTTAAACAGCTTGGAAAGTTCCAGAAAATGATCTCATGGCTTTAGAAGCTTCTGATAGGCTAATTGACATCATTTGAGTCAATTGGAGGTGTACCTGTGGATGTATTTCAAGGCCTACCTTCAAACTCAGTGCCTCTTTGCTTGACATCATGGGAAAATCAAAAGAAATCAGCCAAGACCTCAGAAAAAAAATTGTAGACCTCCACAAAATTGGAGGTGTACCTGTGGATGTATTTCTAGGCCTACCTTCAAACGCATTCTGTCGCATTCTGAGATGAACGTACCTTGGTGCGAAAAGTGCAAATCAATCACAGAACAACAGCAAAGGACCTTGAGAAGATGCTGGAGGAAACAGGTACAAAAGTATCTATATCCACAGTAAACAAGTCCTATATCGACATAACCTGAAAGGCTGCTCAGCGAGGAAGAAGCCACTGCTCCAAAACTGCCATAAAAAAGCCAGACTACGGTTTGCAACTGCACATGGGGACAAAGATCGTACTTTTTGGAGAAATGTCCTCTGGTCTGCTGAAACAAAAATAGAACTGTTTGGCCATAATGACCATCGTTATGTTTGGAGGAAAAAGGGGGGCCTTGCAAGCCGAAGAACACCATCCCAACCGTGAAGCACGGGGGTAGCAGCATCATGCTGTGGGGGTGCTTTGCTGCAGGAGGGACTGGTGCACTTCACAAAAAAGATGGCATCATGAGGAAGGAAAATTATGTGGATATTTTGAAGCAACATCTCAAGACATCAGTCAGGAAGTTAAAGCTTGGTCGCAAATGGGTCTTCCAAATGGACAATGACCCCAAGCATTCTTCCATAGTTTTGGCAAAATGGCTTATGGACAACAAAGTCAAGGTATTGGAGTGGTCATCACAAAGCCCTGACCTCAATCCTATAGAAAATGTGTGGGCAGAACTGAAAAAGCGTGTGCGAGCAAGGAGGCCTACAAACCTGACTCGGTTACACCAGCTCTGTCAGGAGGAATGGGCCAAAATTCACCCAACTTATTGTGGGAAGCTTGTGGAAGACTACCTGAAACGTTTGACCGAAGTTAAACAATTTAAAGGCAATGCTACCAAATACTAATTGAGTGTATGTAAACTTCTGACCCACTGGGAATGTGATGAAATAAATAAAAGCTGAAATAAATCATTCTCTCTACTATTATTCTGACATTTCACATTCTTAAAATAAAGTGGTGATCCTAACTGACCTAAGACAGGGAATTTTTACTAGGATTAAATATCAGGAATTGTGAAAAACTGAGTTTAAATGTATTTGGCTAAGGTGTATGTAAACTTCCGACTTCAACTCGATCAGTATCACTGTTATGAGTTGTGTCTGAATAGGGAATTGAGTCAGCTCTATCAATTCTATCGTTTCTAGCTGTTTTTCAGCGTTTCACCTCACTGAATACACCTGGGACAAGTTCAGCAGGGTACAACGCTGTGGGATGTTCTGATAGAAATATATTATGTAGAACAGACAAGCATCTCTTACCTGTAGAATAAGGAACCATGTCAGCCCTATTAATGAAATTTCTATCACCATGTTCTGAATGTTTCCCCTCACCGAATACATGCAACAAAAGTGGGAAGGTCAAAGATGTATTGTCCAATCACAGCAAGATTTTTGATAATGATGTGTCCACTGTCCAGCCATATCAAAGCAAAGGGAGTTCAGGGGTGTGGAGAAGCTCCTGCCCTAGGTCTGAGTCCCTGAGGGCGAAGAACGTCACACCTGAACTGTACGCTGCGGGGATCACGACGTGGCTCATCCTAAACTGATCTTCATCATCATGGTCTTCCTCACGAATCATCTGCCTCACTTGACCTAAGGGAGTAAAGGACCACACCCACACAAACGAACAGGTGTGCGCACATACGCACGCATGCACGCACACACACACACTCGTCATTGACATCCTGCTTTGGCAGAAATAAATTGTTTGTATGTGTTCTTCTGAGACAAAGAGTGAGAGAGAGAGTGAGACAGTGTGAGAGAGAAACAGAGAGAGAGACAGACAGACAGACAGACAGGGGGCACTTTCCTCTGCCGAGGCATTACTGATGCATGCCAGATCTTAAAAAGCCTGGATAGCTATTTTACGTATCAGCAAACCACATCATATGTTATAGCAATCTGTCAGTTGATGACACAGTCGATGACGTGGCACACAACCATTGGTTGATGCATGCAACATCTGAACAGGGGAACATGACCAGAGTAACAAAGAGTGGTGAAATCTCTCTCTCACCCTCCACATCCAGGGCTTTCCAGCGTGGGTCAGACTGGTCGTCTGATAGGCTAGACAGAGGGGCGTCAGCTGTCAATCTCAGCAGCACATCCTCTCGACGTATCAGCAACACAGATTCACTGCAGAGTCGCTGATGCACCTCCTGCTCACTCACTGGGACATAGAATGCATGAAGTCACACACAGACTATACTCTCTCTCACACACACACACACACACACACACACACACACACAACTTACCCACATCCAGGGGGTTGGTCATATAGACAGTGTTGGGTCCGACCCCAAAGATGAGTTGGTGGTGCCATGCGTCGGGAACCTCCTCTCCCTCGGGCACTGCCAGTTGCATGTTCATGGTGGCCACGGGCACTGCCCCTCTCTGGATCCACCGTGCCAGCCAGGGTACCAGCCTCACCCGCCGGCGAGGGTGGAGGGGGAAGTGGCAACCCAGCACGCGCCCACCACTGGCCTGCTCCGCCCCAGCTATCAGCTGTGAGTGTGTGGCGCCTGGGAGAGGGGAAGAGACAGAAAGGAGGGTGTATCACAGACATACAACAGTGAAAAATAAATACAGAAACACACAAGCATGCACACATACACACAAACACAGTTGACAGAGCATTTGGTGGTTATGGTTGAGGGCTTGTGGTCCAGTCAGAGAAATGGTGGTATAGTGAGGAAGTTCTAAGGGTGGTCGGTTGTGGTCAGAGTAGACTGCTGGTTGAGTGTTGTGGTTGGCTGTTGTGTTAAGTCAAATTAGGGTTGGAGCCAAGGATTCTTGTCATAAATTGTGGTTATTAGGTTAGAGTTTGCGGATGTGGTCAGGTGATTATTGTGAAAACAGTGCACGGTTGTTAGCTAAATAGAATGTGCAGTAAGTGGTCAACGGTCAGTACCGGCCTCGCTCCGGGAGAACAGGTAGTCGGGCAGCGGCGCCTCGTTCCTCCTCAGGCGCGTCCGCACACACCGGTCAGCCTTCTCGGGTGCCACGACGATGCCGAGGGCCTGTAGGACGTCCACTACGGCCGTTGCCCCACAGGCGGACGCTCCTATCTGCATGGTCTGCCTCTCCACTGCCTCCTGGATAGACCATAACATAGCCCCTTGTCCCTGCCTCTCCTCTTCATCTTTGGGACATTGGGATGCACAGCAAGCAGTTTCAGTCTGCTTCTCCTCACGAGGATGCACTCCCTCCATCTTTACAAGCCACACCTGCTGAAAAACGACATGTATGATGATCATATTTATTTTTTAGACTGCATTGCATATTGATATGCTTGACCAATATAGACTTATCAGAATCACTGTTATGAGTTGTGTAGTTATGCTAGGTCTGTGAGAATCGCACATGGAGCCTTTTGATACGAATCTACATTTGGGGAATACTGAAGTATCCCAATAATAGACTAAAGAAGCCTCACATTCCTCCTTATAGTCCAAGGACCTTACAGTACATGTTCTGTTTAAAGGCAAATTGTCTCTGGCAGCCAAAACAGCCAAATACTCCATCTAAACGTGAACCGATTCTCTAGAAACATAAAGTCCTTTACTTTCGTATCACATCAAAATAATTTCACAAATGCAAAATATACACTTACACTGTTTTAACCGTTTTTAATACAGTTGCAGCCGACAGTATTTTTCAGTGACAACACAGGTGCAATCCAAACAGCAAAATAAAGTTCCGAACCGGTTCGAACCCAAAAAAGTAACGGTTTATATCGTTCCTTTCTGTTACATTTTAAACTTCTGAAATCAATATTTTTTTTTATATACATTTAACACCACATTAAATGACTTCACCAATCAGTGTGGATAAAGCAGCTTGCTATGGAGCGTTCCAGCTATAGTTGTTTACATGCATTGGACAGACAAGTGTAGGGCGCGAAATGTGACTGAAATTTTGCGGGTGGGGAGAGAGCGAGAAAGGGTGGAGGAGAAGGTTTGGCTTGAAGCGCTGGGCATCTTGTTATGACATGCATTATCTGAAATAGGCCATAGATACGGCAGTCAAAAGGGGGCAAGCGGAACGGAAGCGGAAGATGGCAGACAACAAAAAAATGAAGGAAAGTGGAACATATTATGAATAAATATGGAGTGGGGGATTGCACAAGACTTCTGGAAGATCTGATGAAGGAGAAGATGGCGGACAAGAAAAAAGTAGAAAAGTGGAATATGTTTTGAGTGAATATGGAATGGAGGATCACACAGAATGTTTGGAAGAGCTACAGAAGGAAATGGAACATGACAATAGTGAGGATGAATTACATGTGGTGGCAGGTGCAGTGATGACCACCAAGAGGGAAGCGGTGTGGTGAGGAAGGTTGGCATCAAGTGCAAAAAGAGGGATACATGCTCCAGTAGTTCAGAGATGGAACCTGACAAGAGTGAGGATGAAGTACCTGCGGTGAGGATCGCCGAGTTCGAGCCTTGTCCTAATGATGAAAAGGATGATACTGGCCCAGTGGGAGTGAGATTTGTGGAGAGAATGGATCATTCTGGCTGACCCATATGTGGTGTCAAGTTGGGTGGAGAAGAGGTTGGGGACTGTTGAGTCGGTGAAAGTAACGCAAAGTGGACCCGTGATGATTTATTGTGTTTCTTCCGTCCAGAGGAAGCGGGTGCTCCGGACCACGTGACAACGGACAAGAACTGTGACTTGCTTTGTTCTCCGGAGCGGGGCGCCGTTGAAAGGAATGATAACGGGGGTGGCATTAAGTATTGAGGAGGATCAGCTGAAAGTGAAGATTCCTGGTGTCTGTGATACCCGCCGTTTGGTGCGACGCAGACCCGGTGGAGAGCGTGGTGAAATGGAGAAGACATTGTCCTGCTGAGTTTTGATACAGAGTCTTTGCCTGACAAGGTCAAGTTAGGATGTGTCAGTTATCCCGTGAGAGATTTTGTTCCGAAAATACTACAGTGTTTTAGGTGCCAAGCTTATGGTCATGTTGCAGCAGTGTGTAGGATGGAGATTCCTAAATGTGAGAAGTGTGCAGGAGGGCATGAGAGGAAGTAATGTGTAGTATCGGTGGAGAAAGTTGTGCGTGTTAGCTGTGGGGGTGCCCATGGGGCTGGAGATCGGAGGTGTCCGGTGAGAGAAAGGCAGGTTGAGGTTTCCAGGGTCAGAGTAGTACATAAAGTGTTGTATGCTGAAGCAGTGAAGAGAGTGGTAGAGGAAGATGGCCGTGCGTTGCATTCTGGGAGATTCTAGGACAAGTAGAGCTCTCCTTCAAGGAGTGAATGGGAGTCAATTGGGTGCTAGCTCAAAAACCCAACATTAGTATGAATTTCGTCAACAAAAAGTACAACGTTACAAAACCTTTCAGAGATGTGAGATAATGAACCTGTTCTCTGTAATATCGTATAGCTTTGGAATAGCGACATTACGTACTTTCGAGGAAAATAGGTAGGTTTCTCGACTCATACCCCGACTTTGAGAAGGGATGGCGTGACGATTAGCTTAGCAACTGCGTGACGCCGCATGACAACATGAGGTTAATTTGTCCCTTATTTTAGTCACAATATTAAAACCTGTCTCTTGCAATCACGTTGCGCTTATGAAATTGAACGCAATTGGTAGACAGTCTGCTGGGTAAGGCGTTATACATTCCTCCATTCATTGCAAAATGGGATTCCTATCTCTTCCTTTCTCTAATATCTCTGATTAGGTCCACCGAATTATACCTACGGAGGAGCGGCTTCTATGAAGGAACTTTGAATGACTTTGAACTTTTGAGAGTTGGCTTAACGTTAGACCAGAGCAACAAGCTTGTGTGTGCCAGTAGCGGTTAGGGTGACCACATGACCTGGATTGTGCGGGACAGTCACGCATTTTGACCCTTTGTCCCGCAACGAAACAATCATGTCCCACATTTTATCAACAAATTCAATTAAAGTCACAATATTACAACCCGTCTCTTACATTCACGTTGCACTTATGAAAATATATATATCATAAGGATGTGGTAGCCTAAGCCTACTGGTGATGTTAAACACTTCTCCAATCGTTGTTGAGATCTGATATTCTGCGCATCATCATTTCAACTTCAACATCATCTAATCACCTATGCTTAGTCTAATAGTGACAACTAAAAGACACCAAAAACGATTTTGTCCAATCAACTTAAGCTAAATATGGTGTGGCTGTCCATGGTACTGAAGTTTGTTTGTGTGTGTGTGTGTGTGTGTGTGTGTGCATGCAAGTAGAAAAAACATGTTGACTCACCCTATGCCAATGCCATCCTCCTCTTTCATGATGCCTAAACGGTCTATGACTCTGTCATACAGTACACTGTTTTTGTTTTTGTTGTCCTAGGCTACCTGGCTATAATGCTTGCTCGCTAGCCTAACTTCCTTTCATGGGCAACGATGCACCAGGCCACCTAGTAAACATTAATATACTACATGTTAAACTTCCATTCTCTCAGATCAGGGGCACAATGTATGAATTTATGGTTGGATCAGAATCGCCGTTATAATCATTGGCCAGTACGAAGAATTAAGTAAAACCACAAGTCCAAATCCCTACCTCCATGACGTTTGGCATCTGATGTGATTGGTCTGAAGCCAAATCCAAACTGGCATCCCTTGACAACTTTTTTGGTGCACTATGACCATTCACAGCTGAGATCACTCAGTTTAGCTCAACGCTGGTTGGCTATTATTTTATTTAATAAATGATCAAGGGAGGCCAAATGCTTGCATCCTTGCAACAATGTTATACTCTATTTTGACCAGACAGCATCAGATAGATAGCTGTTTCGTTCGCTCAAATGCTTTCTCCGGTGAGATACATTCAGCCTCTTGTGAATTGAATAAACATTTATGAAACACAGAGAGATGAAAGATCAATTATTATAATATTTTTGGGGAAGCCTGCTTCAAATCAAATCAAATATTATTTGCCACATGCGCCGAATACAACAGGTGTAGACCTTACAGTGAAATGCTTACTTACAAGCACTTAACAAACAATGCAGTTTTAAGAAAATAGAGTTAAGAAAAAAATAGATAAGTAAAAAATAAAAATAACATAATTAAAGAGCAGCAGTAAAATAAAAAGAACAGTAGGGAGGCTATTTACAGTGGGTACCAGTACAGAGTCAATGTGCGGGGGCACCGGTTAGTCGAGGTAATATGTACATGTAGGTAGAGGTAAAGTGACTATGCATAGATAATAAACAGAGAGTAGCAGCAGCGTAAAAGAGGGGGAGAGGGGTTTGGGGAGGGGACAATGCAAATAGTCTTATGGCTTGGGGGTAGAAGCTATTAAGAAGCCTTTTGGACCTACACTTGGCGCTCCGGTACCGCTTGCCGTGCGGTAGCAGAGAGAACAGTCTATGACTAGGGTGGCTGGAGTCTTTGACCATTTTTAGGGCCTTCCTCTGACACCGCCTGGTATAGAGGTCCTGGATGGCAGGAAGCTTGGCCCCAGTGATGTACTGGGCCGTACACACTACCCTCTGTAGTGCCTTGCGGTCGGAGGCCGAGCAGTTGCCATACCAGGCGGTGATGCAACCAGTCAGGATGCTCGATGGTGCAGCTGTATAACTTTTTGAGGATCTGAGGACCCATGCCAAATCTTTTCAGTCTCCTGAGGGGGAATAGGCTTTGTCGTTCCTTCTTCACGACTGTCTTGGTGTGTTTGGACCATGATAGTTCGTTGGTGATGTGGACACCAAGGAACTTGAAGCTCTCCACCTGTTCCAATACAGCCCGTCGATGAGAATGGGGGCGTGCTCAGTCCTCTTTTTTTTCCCTGTAGTCCACAATCATCTCCTTTGTCTTGATCACATTGAGGGAGAGGTTGTTATCCTGGCACCACACGGCCAGGTCTCTGACCTCCTCCCTGTCTCATCATTGTCGGTGATCAGGCTTACCACTGTTGTGTCGTCGGCAAACTTAATGATGGTGTTGTGCCTGGCCATGCAGTCATGGGTGAACTGAGCACGCACCCCTGAGGGGCCCCCGTGTTGAGGATCAGTGTGGCAGATGTGTTGTTACCGACCCTTACCACCTGGGGGCGGGCCGTCAGGAAGTCCATGATTCAGTTGCAGAGGGAGGTGTTTAGTCCCAGGGTCCTTAGCTTAGTGATGAGCTTTGAGGGCACTATGGTGTTGAACGCTGTGCTGTAGTCAATGAATAGCATTCTCACGTAGGTGTTCCTCTTGTCCAGGTGGGAAAGGGCAGTGTGGAGTGCAATAGAGATTGCATCATCTGTGGATCTGTTGAGGCGGTATACAAATTGGAGTGGGTCTAGGGTTTCTGGGATAATGGTG